ATCCCTGGCTATCTGTAGGGAATTGGTTCCAAGAGGACCCCGTGGATACTGAAATCTGCACACATCCCAGTCCTTTGTGTAGAATGGCATGAGATTTTTCATGTAATTTATACATGTGCTCTCATATAAATCATCTCTAGATTATTTAGGATACACAGTACAGTGTAAATGCTGTGTACATAGTTCTAATGCTATATTGTTTCAAGAATAACGACAAGAAAAATATCTATACATGTTCAGTACAAATGCAGTAGTTGTTTTTTTTCTAAATGTTTTCAGTCTGGTTGGTTGAATTCATGAATGTGGAAACTACAGATATGGAGGGCATTGCAGTCTTTTTAATGAATGCGCTGCCACACCTGGTTCAAGTACATGGTATTCTCTGCTGCCACACATATTCCACAAAGAAAATGCCAGTTCACTTAAGAATTCCATTGATGAAGTAATAAAAGTATAAATTTTATGAAGTTCCAACCCTGGAAAATACTGCTTTTTAATATTCTGTGTGATGGAATTAGAATTATGCATGAAGACTGTAGCATACAAAAGGATGACACTTGTTTTGAGGACTACTAATGTGGTTGTTTCAGTTACAAGCTAAGCTAGCTGCTTTGTTCATGGTCCCATCTTTTTCCTTGAAAGAATGATTGATGGATCATCTATGGATATTAGGATCCTAGTATTTGGCAGACATTCTTTCAGGAACATACAGTGTGAGTTTATCACTTCAGGGAAAACAACTGACAATATTTGTTGCCACTGATAGGATTCTGGCTTTCAAGTGACAATGGCATTTTAGACAATATATATTTACTCTGCAAAGGTTGATGTCTTCAGTTATTTAAAGATTTTCTGATGAGATTAGTGGTATCAGTGAATGTTATTTTTAATTGTTAATGAGTGAAATTTGTCAGTATTTATATAACTCATTAAGTCATATTTCTAAATGATCAATGCATAATGTACATAAGTATGAACCACTCAAAGGACAGGATAGATAAATGGAATTTAAAAGTAAAATATGAAATATTTATTCTTAAAGATTCCAATTCCACATTACAACTAGCCTTTAAGGAGCTACCAATTTTTGAGTTCTTATATATTTGTTTTTAAGAGATGATCTTGCTATGTTGCTCAGGCTGACTCTGAACTCCTGGACTTAAGTGATCCCCTTACTTCAGTCTCCTGAGTAGCTGGGCCTACAGATGTGTGCCACTATGCCTGGTTCCACTTGTTGAGTTTTGTTGTAGTATCAAAGAATATCCAGAATCATTTGAAAAGACTATTTAAAGCACTCCTCTCTTTCAAGCTGCATGTGTGACTAAGGCTGATTTTCTTCATATACTTAAGCCAAAATAACATATTGCACCAGATTGAATGCAGAAACAGATATGAGAATCCAATTCCTATTAAACCAGACATTACAGAGATTTGTAAGAATGCAAAACAATGCCATGCTTCTCACTGTTTTCTAAAAATTTAGTAATTTCATTAAAAATGCTATTCATATTAACATGTAGTGGGCTTGTTGTTTTAAAATGAATTAAATATTTTGAAATTTTTTCTCAGTTTTTATTTTTAATACAGAAAATATTAATTACAGTAACTATGAATCCATATAACTCCTATAAATATAGAGAGAGACTATATTTATAGAGGCTTTGGGGATTCTCAATGCTTTTTAAGTGCATAAAATTTCCTAAAATCAAAAGGATTGAGAATCTTTAGTATAGTTCTTCAGAATAGGAGCTTAGAGACAAATTACTCATTGTTTAGTGCCTTTGTGATCTTAGGCTAAATTTGAAACAACTTGTTGCCTTAGTTTCTTCATCTGTAAAATGGGATAAAAGTTAATTTACAACACTGCCATAATGATTAACTCGAATGTATAAAAGTTCTTAGGATTTACATAGTTGGTAAATTATGTAATTATTACCTATTTTGCAATATATTGGTGCTTTCCCTTATTGATGCTAGATTTCTACCCTTGTAGAAATGGGATATTTTTATATATTTATGTACCCTATTAACAAGTCCATGAAATCATGGACTTTTTCTCTTTGTCCTCCAAGTCAGTGATTCTTGACACTTGCTTCCTATTAGAATCATGTGGGCTCTTTTGACAAAAAATCCCAATACCCAAGATACCCTCCTATCTGAACCATTTAAATCAGATTATAGGGCTGGGGTCAGTAGGGTCCAGTCAGTAGTAGTGCTAAAGTTCTTTAGGTGATTTTATTTTGAAGGTTCAGAACCACTGTTTTGAATTTTCCCTAAGATTCTTCCTCTGTTCTTGCTTCTCAAATAATTGTAGTTGATTTTTCTACAACCCCTTTTGATTGTGATAAGTTCATAGCTGAATGTCCTACTAGGAGGTGGAGTCTGGTTGAAAGAGGTGGCTGTGGGGAAGTGTGACCTGGGAGGGTGTATTACTGTCCCTGGATTCTTTTCTATCCTCTTCCTGGCTCTGTTGAGCAGCTCTCCTCTGCCATATCCTCTACCATGATGTTTCTGCCTTGGAGCCAGCTAGTCATCAGCTAAACCTTCGAAACCATGTGCCAAATAACCTTTTCTTCCTTTGTGTTTTGAGTGTTGGGTATTTTATTCTAGTGATGGGAAACTGACTAATAAACACTCCTTATTTTTACCATCTACCCACAGCTTGAAATTGTCAGTATAATTTAAGATCCACTGCTCTGTCATTGTTATTTAAAGATACCCTCAATCCTTCTCCTAAGGGTCTTAGCACCTTTCTCCTGGTCACTGTTTCAGTGTTACTGTTGTCATAATTCTGGGTCATTTTGAATATCCATGAAAATTAAATGGTTTTCCAACATCGTGCCCTATCAGTCTCTGACCTCATTCCCTTCTCTGATTTTGTCCTTCACTCTCTCTTAACCATACATAATGTTGGAGTATCTCAATTTGTTGGCACCAGTTATATAAAACCCTCACCATCTCTAGTTGCAAACATTCCATCTTCTGAACACACCCTCGTCCAATTCATTTGTTGTCATGTCTCAACTGTTGTTTCAATTGACCACGACCTACAATCCAGTGGTCTTCCTACCATTTCATGAACTCTCACTTTTCTTATGAACTTACTTGGCTTTTTCCTGGCCTAATACTCATGATCTATTATTGTAATGATTTTATAAAGCCTCAGAGATCTCTTTCCATTCTTTTTGTCTATTGCATTTGTTTGGCAAAACCTAACTTTTACCTACATTCCTCCTACTCCATATCTATATTTAGGCAGTAGAATGTAGGCTAATTTGTCTCACTCAAGAATTGTACTGTTGACCTCAGTGGAGCTTTTACTGCTATCTGGAATTCCTATTGCATTTCTCCAATTCATTTAGTCTCCTAAACAACTTTTCTAAGTGATTATTTCATACTTTCATCTCATACTTCTAGTATTCTCTCCTCCTTCCTCATTCTTAGATGATCACTTTCTCTCCAGTCTAATCAAGAAAATGTAGCTTTCAGAAGAGAACTGCCACAAGCTCCTTTTACCACATGGACCAGTCTGTGCACATCCATGCTCATTTAGTTGGCTTCTCTGTAGATAGATCCTCTGAGCTCATTTCTAAGGCTAACCCTTTTTGAGATACCTGCTTAGTGTGGATTCTTGTCTGCTTACTCTTTACCTTTTGTCCTGGTATTTTGCTCCCTCCCTCTCTGGCATCACTGCTTCCCTTACTCTCTGCAGGAATATTCCATCAGGCTACAAAGATCCATATGCAACTTTTCTTTGACCTCATGTTTCTCTCTCGTTCCCAGTTCAAATTATCTGTGCTAGCTGTATGCATTTCCTTTCCATCTGTTCTCTTTAAAGTCTTGATAATGAAGCTTTACTTTACCAAAACAGTATTTGTTGAGGACACTACTGATCTGTGTGTAATAGATTCAGTAGTGAATTCTCAGCCTCCCTTACTTATCAGTACCATTTGATGTGGGCTGTTACTTCTTTTCCTTTTTTTTTTTTTTTTTTTTTTTTTGGGTGGTACTGGGGATTGAACTCAGGACCTTGCACTTGCCAGGCAAGCGCTTATTCTACTGAGCCATCTCCTTGGCCCCTATCACTTCTTTTCCTCGAAGAACCCCCACCCCCTTTTATTTGGGTGGTACTGGGGATTGAACTCAGGACCTTGCACCTGCCAGGCAAGTGCTTATTCTACTGATCTATCTCCCCAGCACCCTGCAGAACCCTTTTCACTAGGCTTCTAGAATATATACTGTTATTTTCTCAGTGACATTTTTCACCATTTTTTTCTCATTAAAAATATGAATTCTTGAGAGCAAAGACTTTATATTTTTCACTGCCTAGAATAGTGGCTGATACATAATAGACATCAGTGCATATTTGTGGAATGATGAATACGAGATTAACTAGGATCCACTTATCAGATCTTCCCCCATTTCCACAGCTTTCCCTGTTGAGACTTCACAGCCCCTCCGATACCCCAACCCTGTATTTCCTAATAATATTTTTCCTTGTCTCTACTCAATTCTTCTCTTTTTCAAACCAAAGTGTTAATATTATGTTTATATTTCCACGAGGCTCTAATGTTTACTGAGTGTTTCTTTACATCTGGTGTTACAGATGCAGATAGGCTGTGAATCTATAATTAAATTACTCTAAACTATAATGTTGAATTTAGGTGTCAATTGAAAAGATTTAAAATTATACAGGAATAAGAAAAAAGAAATCAGCCTTCCAGGGCTAAAATTATGTCTATTGGGATAGATACCTTGTTTTGTTGATACTCTACAATTTACTGTTTCTATTTGTGACAGAACTCATCTAGATTTTTCTGCATGGATTTTTAGAAGGCAGGAGGGATCACCAAGATCATAAGACCTTGTTAATTTTATTTCTGACTTCATGGCTACTCATAATAGACTTTTATTACCTTTCCCCTCTGTGTTGATGTGTGGATGTGACAAGGATTTGTAAGAGTATTGCTTTTCACTGGTTTTTATTTATGGCTCTGCAGAATCTCGCCTCCTGGAACCCCACAAACCCTGAGTGTCTCTTGCTTGTGGTGAAGGAGCTGGTGCAGCAGTATCACCAGTTTCAGTGTAGCCGCCTCCGCGAGAGTTCACGCCTCATGTTTGAGTACCAGACGCTGCTGGAAGAGCCTCAGTATGGAGAGAATATGGAAATTTATGCTGGAAAGAAGAACAACTGGGTAAGATGCTCAGAGAATGGGGAAGAAGTCACCTCACCTATAATTAAATGAAATTTAGATGTCCATTTATCATAAGCCCCGCTCTTCAGATAATCATTGTTTAGATAGCCTGTGTACATTCTCATAGCATCTGAAAGGATCTTAATTCTAATCTTGGTTATTGCTTCTCAGAGATAGCACTTGTGACATCTGTCCAGTTCGGTCTACTGACGATTCATCTGTGTTACCAGCTCCAAGCAGGTTCTGATACAGGTGACTGCTGGGCCACATCTTAAGAGACTCCTCAGGAATTCATTTTTCTCATATCCCAGTCAATTAAGAGAGGTCCATAGCTTCAGATCTAGCTGGTTATATGGAGCATTGTATATTTTCCTTTTATAGTCTCTTTTTTTTTTACATTTCAATTTTTTTTTCTTCAAAAGGAGTGAGTTGTGTACAGGGGTGTTAAACGCTTTATAGACAAGAAACAAAAACTGTGCTAGAACCAACTTATTCATCCTCCTCCTCCTCTTCCTCCTCCTCCTCCTCCTCCTCCTCTTTTTTTTCTTGTTTTTTTCAGCCTTGACAACTCCCTTTTTTGTTGCATCAGGTTTTCCTTTAGCCCAGTAGGCAGCGACATCCTTTTCATACTTTTCCTTCAGCTTAGCAGCCTTCTTCTCATATGGCTGCTTGTCATCTGCTGCAGTATTGTTCCATATTTCTCCAGGTTTCTTTGAGACATCATCAATGGAGAGGCCAGGATATTCTCCTTTGATTTTTGGACGATACTCAGAACAGAACAAGAAGGCCTAAGGAGGCCTCTTGGGAGCATTGGGATCCTTGAACTTCTTTTTTGTTTCTTCTTTAGGGAGAATATAAATTTTCATTTTTCTTTCATAATGAGCCTTGTTCACTTTTGCCATGTCTTCAAATTTCCCTTTTTCTTTAGCAGACATGGTCTTCCACCTCTCTGAGCACATCTTAGAAAACTCTGAAAATTTAATGGGAGTATCTGGGTGCTTCTTGTGCTCCTCTCGGCAAGTTTGCACAAAGAACGCATATGAGTACATCTTGCCTCTTGGCTTCTTAGGATGTCCTTTGCCCACATTTACTTGTTTTCCTCAGTGAGGTACAGAGTTGCCCATTGCCCGTCCAGCTCTCACTTGCCCTAGCACTGCCTCTATGGAGCTCAATGTACTGCAATTGCCTACAGTCTCTTTATGTTGTATGATCTTTCAAAAATGCAAGTCATCATATCACTCCTCTGCCCTTTTTTTTTCTTGAGTAAGCCAAACTTCCCAGTGATGTCAACAGTTCCGCATGATTACTGTCACCACCATCCATCATCCATCACTTATTTTTCTCACTTCATCTCTTACCTTCCCCTCTCCTGTTATCTCCTGTGCATCCCTGCTATGCTGCAAACAGGCATTTTTGTCCTCTAGGATCTCTGCATACATTCTGTGCTTTCAGATGTTTTCCCTAGATAGTCACATTGTGGTTTCCTTTCTTCTTCAGATTTCTACTTGTATGTTTTCAGGTGTATCCTACTAATTCTTCCACTTTTTAAAAGCTTGTTTGATATATATATATATATATATATATATATATATATATATTTACATGTTTTAATTGTTCAACTCAAAGATTTTGGTAAATTTGTCATTTTGTATAATCACTGCCATTTTCTAGATTAGTATGATTTCATCACCTCATGGGATCCAATGTGCTCATTTACATTTAATCCTGTTTCCACCTAAACCACCAGGCAACCACTAAGCTACTTTCTGTCTCTATAGAATTTTTTTGAGACACAGTCTGTGTGGTGCAGGTTGGCCTTGATTTTGCTTATGTAGCCTAGGCTAGCTTTGAACTGACAGCAGTCCTCCTGCCTCCCAAGTGCTGGGATCACAGACATGTGCCACCATGTCTAACAGACTTTGTTTTCTGAATGTTTCATATAATGGAATAATTCAGTATTTGGTGTTTTGTGGTTGAATTCCTTTGCTTAACATAACACAGTGATACAAACTCAATTTTGGTTCACAAACTCAATTCTCTTCATGGTTTTGGTCACAAACCAAACTGAACTAGAACTGAATCAAATCTCCCTGTAAGGTCAACATTAAACCTAACCATTGAATTTGATTCAGTTCTCCTCCAACTCTATTTGAGACCAGAATCATGAGCTGAGGATTCAGTTCTCCTCCAGCTCTGTTTGAGACCAGAATCATGAGCTGAGGAACCACTGTATATTTGAGTGCCATCTGTGTTGTACCACATATCAGCACTTTTTTGTTTTGATGGATAGTATTCTATTGAATAGATAAACTACATTTGTTTTTTAAAATACTTTTATTGAGAAACAAATAGCAATGAGACAGTTTCACAACTGATTACTATTTCATTTTCAATAATTAATACATTGCATATTATTGTCTTTGTGGTTATTCATTGAACAAGATGCAGACCTGCTATCCTGTCTCAAATACTATTAGAACAAACATCTCTATTCATTGAATTAAGAGAATGGAGCTGTATATCTATCCTAACTATTTGAGTACACAGATACAAAATGGTTGTTCATTTGTATCCCCCTTTTTTGGTTGGTTTTGTCAGAGAAGGGCATTCCATTGTCATTTAGATACTGTAGGTGCATGAATTCAGCAAAATATCCTAATATAGTCCAATAGTCCATAATAGTAGTTGGTTTTCCATAAGGCTGCCAATGTCCAAAGTTGTTGACTTGAGCATTTTACAGCTCGTCATAGTAATATGGCCTTACTTTTTATAATTTATTTTCATACTTTTCTGCTGGATGGTTAAGACCAAGAACGAGCAAGACCTATCTAACAAGAAATGTAACTTTTGTATCTGATAAGGTCAGTCAAATCCCCTCAGGATTTAATCTGAAACCCTGTACCTCAGTTTGTAGATCCTTTGTCAGTGTCAGCCATATGGATGAGTCATGGCCATTGCTTGACCAATTTGCTCTCGGGACAGCTTGAGAGAATGTTCTCTCCATGTGACTCTCTGTAGGCACACTCTACATTATTAATCATTTTCCTCTGTGACCCTCAATATCTCCTTGATCAGAAAATTTGGGACACAATTGAGTTATAGGATGTTACAGTACAGGTTCTTCTATTTCCTGAGTGCGTACTAACCTTGAAAGGCTAGGGCCAAAATGATGGCTGTCCTTGTGGCCGTTCTTTTTCTTTAATTTTTGGTCTGCAAGCTTAAGTTGTTAACCCTCCAGAAGAGAAGCTTAATAATATTACCCTATAATGTAGGCAGTTGAGTTTAACCTCACTATCTGTCCGAATATCAAACATCTTAGACATAACATGGAACAGGTATTTTCCATGAAGTATTGATATGTTAAACTTGGAGTCCCTCCAGAATATGAAGAAAAAAAGATTAAAAAGAAAAATTAAAAAAGAATGAGTATTTACATATTTTTACAGAGAAATTCAGAAATCTAAAACTATACATCCTTGTAGCAGGACAGTCCTGTGACTTTTTTTGTCTCATGTTTTCATTTATTACCCCCGCCCCCTATTTTAAAGCAAACCTTTACTTGAGAAACAGTATGGCCATAATTGGTATGCCATGACATAATTGGTATGCCATAATTAGAAGAATGACAGACATTCCAAGCATGACCGTACCATTAGATGTTGCTTTCTTCAGTGCAGTTGCTTCGTTCACAGGTAGCAGCATATATGGTCAGGGTGGGAAACCTACCAATTAACTGCTATTTTCAAAAGCATGCTGAAGATTCTCAGGACCATTGCCTTTCCCATCTTGTGCATATAAATATATGACTTAGTCCATCATGTTTTCTGGCTTTTCTCCTTGCCCTCTCTTCTTTAACTAATCCTCAAGTTCTCACTTTCCTTTTAATTGTGCTATGCCTTTCTATTTTTATTTCTTCCTTTGAGTTCTTGTACTAGGGAGACTATATGATATTTACATATATGGGTCTGGTTTAGTTCACTTATGAGTATATCTTCAAGTGGCATCCTCTTATATTTATGGCTTCGAGTTTATCATTTTTATAGCTGATTGTATAAAAATACCACATCTTTCTATCCATTCCTCAGGTGTTGGGCATCTTGGTTGTTTCCAAGATCTGGCTATCACAAATTGTGCTGCTATAAACATAGACACACATATATCACTATGTTATAATGTTTTCACATCCTCTGGGGAAATTTCCAGTAGAGGAATAGCTGGGTTAAGTGGGATTTCCAGTCCA